GAAGCAAAGAATAACACTACCAAAGTCATTAATCTTGTCCACTGGGCCCAAACACACAAGACTCAAAGCACTCTGTTGGCCATTGACGCTGAAAAGGCATTTGATAGAGTCAATTGGTCACTCCTAAAACTTACAATGCGATTCTTAAATTTTGGCACTAGGTGGTTGGAGTGGCTGGATGCGATATACTCAAAACCGTCAGCGAGACTGAGAATCAATGGCCAACTATCTGTTCCGGTTACCATCTCAAACGGCATGAGGCAGGGTTGTCCTTTGTCGCCACTCCTATTTATATTGGTTTTAGAACCTTTCCTCCAGGGCATTAGGGATAACGAGCTCATACAAGGATTCCAAATCGGAGGACAGAACTATAAAATCACAGCCTTTGCAGATGACCTTCTCTTTAGCATATCGAGCCCACTCACAACTATCCCCACCATCATATCGGAAATGGAGGCTTATGGCAAACTCTCATACTTCCAAGCTAACTTAACAAAATGCGACTTAATGCCAGTTTTCACAACAAACGCACTAGACGCCCAACTTCGCTCTAGCTTTAACTTCAACTGGTCCGCCAAGTTGATTAAATATTTGGGAATCCACATCCCAAAGAACCTAACGTCAATATAAGCGACCAACTTTACCCCACTAGTAGACTCCATTGCCAGAGACCTACTTAGATGGCACAAACCGTGCTTTGGTTGGATATGCCGTATTAATATAATTAAAATGAACGTCTTGCCCCGCATATTGTATATGCTGCAGACGATCTCGGTCAAGATCCCAATTAAATTCTTCAATAAAATTAGATCATTATTCCTGACGTACATATGGGCACACACAGCCTCTTGCCTAGCCTATCAAACACTAATTAGAAGACAAGACCAAGCGGGACTGAATCTCCCGGACATAGACACATACCACAAAGCAATACACCTACAAAGAATCTACGAATGGACAAAGACTTCTGATACTCAACAATGGGTCAACTTAGAAAATAACATAGCAAACTCTCCACTAAGTACCTACCCCTGGCTTCACCAAGCCATCCAATACACAGGTCTAACAAGCAAACACCCAACGATATCCACGACACTTAACATCTGGTTTAAACTGAGGGCAAAAACAGATATATCACCTTTCCCATCACCTTTATACCCCTTAACTCTTAACTCTCACCTACACCAGGGAACATCAGGGAAACAATTCGGCTTACAATATGAGGGCCCGTTCTTGAAACTGATAGATGCAATAAGCGAGGGCAAACTAAAACCTTTACAAGAACTCACCTCCTCCAAATCTCACACAGGGAACCAACATTTCTACTATAACCAGATTAAACACTTCATCAAAACCCAGGCACTACTTCCAAAAGGGGACAGACCCCTTACCGAGTTCGAACAAATATGCACTTCACTAACGCCAAAAAAAAGAATCCTTTCCTCTCTTCACTCTATACTCAGAGATGCGTTCCCGAAAAATCCCCCTAGCTACATTCTGAAGTGGTCAGATGAACTGAAAATCAACTTTACCAACCAACAGTGGCGAAACGTCTTCATTACTACACACAAATCCTCTGTCTCGGTCCACGCCCAGGAATGTAATTTTAATCGTTTAACTCGATGGCATAACACGCCTACTAAACTTCACCAATTTTACAACACATCACCAGACAGATGCTGGAGGTGCACCACCCCAAATGCTCACCACTCACATATTTGGTGGCAATGCCCAACAATTTCCAAGTACTGGAATAGAATACACTCGTTCATTCAGATGATATTCCACAAATCCTTCCCATGTACCCCCAAACAATACATTTTCCTCCTCTCCCCGCAAGAATTCACGAAACAGGAGACAGCATTGTTCCGTCACCTTGCTATGGCAGCCTCACAACTGATACCTAAATACTGGAAACAGCCTACTTCCCCCTCAATTAGGGAATGGATATCGAGATCTGAATACATTAAATTAATGGAAGAAATTACACTAGCAAAGCAAGGGAAAAAGGGACAATTTTAGACCATTTGGGAGCCATGGAACAACTTTGTAAACAATAAATCCTTTCAGTCCTAGACAATTATAACTTCCAGCACCTTATCCCACGGCAAAAGCCCACATTTCATGTACTACTGGAGAGCAACTTGTCGGTGGCGTGCTAGTCGGCTAGACAGTTTGACCCCTCTCCCTTCAAGGAAATAGTTCTAACCTCACCCCCAACCTGCCTCTATTCCGCTTCCAACTCTTAGAGACTTGGTCCTCCAATCCAACAACCAATAAAAAACAAAAAATCTCAGGAATGTACATTAGTGTTGAAAACGACTTATTCCATCCACCATATGAGGTATAATACATACCATAGATTGCTTTGTGTTGCTTTTCCACTAATGAGTTGTACCGAGGTTTTATTTTTCTTTCTTCATTGTTTGACGGCGAACCGCGCCAATTAACCACCTAAGCCACTTTGACAACCTCATTATGAAGTGTTGAATACTCATCTCAAACTTACAATTGTAATGGATACTCTGTAAACAACTTTATTGTTCATTTTACTGTATTGTCTACACTGTAGAATACCACATCTGTAATCTCGCTTTACCAATGTTTCTGTACAATTCTGAAAAATTAATAAAACGAAAAATTTTAATTAAAAAAAACAAAAAAAAAACTGTAATGATAAAGATTCATTATCATCTCAAGACTGTAAGAGAGATATAACAGAATTCACAAAAGTATATGTATGCCTCTACACAGAAGAGGATGTTTAAGCTAAAATAGCTAAGCGACAAACATAATTCTGTAGGTTTTTCCTTGTTCATATGAGTCAGAGAGAAAAATCATAATTCTTGGAAAAGAGGTATATAAGAAGTCCAGGTTGCTTTCCATGCACAAAATAGACCAACCTTATAGGGTGTTTGTTAAGTGTTCTTGGTACCTGGAACACAGGATTCTGGTATGAATTATTGAGTAGACAATGAAAACAGTTTGTGAAATTCTTGTTCCCTGATATTAGGCAAACCATGAGACAAAAAAGGTTGTCCTTGATCAACAGGTGGTTTTCTCCCTTAGGATTAATCAAACCGTTGTTCCAATGAGGTAATATCTGTGGGATGTCCATAGTAATTTCTAGGAAATGAGGAAACCATGGTTAGGATGGCCAAAGAGAGTATTGTCCCAAGTTTAACATCCCTAGAGTAACTTGTTCATGTATCATGGCAAAAGGATGAAAAGCATAATTTGTTCCCATGAATCTATCTTGAAAAAAAGCGTCTAAACTCATCGCCTTTGGGTCTGAGCACCAGCAGAAAAACTTTGGCAAATGGTGATTTAAACATGACAGAAAAGATCTACTTGTAATGGTCCCCAGATTTGAAGAATTCTCTGGAATAATAGTCTAGTTTTCCAATCATGCCTATCAGATATCTGAACTTCAAATCTGCTATTGCGTTGGATACATCTGGAAGATAGTCTGCCTTTAACCCCGTAAGGACCAGACTTCTGGAATAAAAGGGAATCATGACATGTCACACATGTCATGTGTCCTTAAGGGGTTAAAGTTATCTAAGCAAAAATGCCAAAAATCTTTTAACAATTCTGCCATATCTTTTATGATTGTTGCACTCAAATTATTTATGTATTGGATCACTGAAGCATTGTCCATACAAAGAAGAATTGAGTTTGTCTTTTGCCAGATTCTTCAGATCAAAAGATCAGCCAAAAGTTTGAGACAACTGTGAAACATGAATTTGTCTTTGGGCTATTGGTTTCTCATGATGACATTACCTGCTCAAGGTTCTCCAGCCTACCAGACTGGCATTCAACTGTATAATTTGTATTGGAGTTGAATATATCTTTGCCGGTCCATGCATTGATTTTGTTAGGATGAAACCCAAAATGCAGCACTTCTAGTAGAAACTAATAACAAAGTCCAAGGCAAACAAATCCAGATAGAGGCAAGGCAAAGGCATATTTAAGGCAGTCCAATGTTCAAAATCCAGGCGGAAAGGTTCAGAAGAAGAGAGACAACTTACAAGCCTGGGGTCATGAAATCCAGAAAGCAGGGCTATTCGCTGTTTAAACAGGGTGCCTATTAGAGGCCATGCCTGTTCATGTCTCTGGACCACTCTACTGGTACATAAGCTGCGGTTGTCATGGTAGTTTATTTGTGTCTAACCATGCCCATATGGCTGTATTGCACATAGAATGAGCTTGCATATCTCCCTGGCATCTTGTGTTGCCCAAGAGATGTGATGCAAATCAGGCTGAATGTTATGACCCATCTCCTGTATTTGCATATACCCGCATTCGGGAGGCCGAGACATGAAGGTGCCACCAGAGCAGCGAGAGAGCTAAAGTAAGTCATGACAGATATGTTTTAAGCACCAAAGAAGTTCTGCCTTGGCCTCTATGGATAATGGAATTGTGTCTGAATTATACACCTTGATATGTTTCGCCTTCAATCTTTGAAGGGCGGAGTAATGAAGAGAAACTGAAAAGATAGCCTGAATTGAAAACATAAGATGTTTTTGAAGAACTGTCCTGATTTCTGAATCAATTTCAATTTCCTGTATGGAAAGCTGAGTGACATTCCTGTATCCAATTTATGAGAAATCTGAGAAGCTCCAGAGATTAGATTTTTTCCAATTTATAAAAATCCTAAATTTTGAAGAATAAGGTGTAGAGTCCACAACGTGTGGAGATGAAGAATATCTATGTAACGGAGCTCCCTGTACTCCGACTGAGTACCCTCCATTGAAGGATGCTCCTAGCGCTTCCTGAGGACTCCAAACACTTCAGCAGACACCACAACCACCGCAGACTCCACAATCGCCGTAGCTTAACTGGAGTCTCGCCGTCTTCCTTCCACCCTGGATCAGCTTCTGTCCTCCAGGACCGTGTGGGGAAGACCTCTCCTCCAGGAGAGCGTAACAGGAACAGCTCTTAAAAGAGCTAAGTAATTAAAAGCTCAGGGGAGTATGCAGAGCATAGCAATCCCCAGTGTGATATAGCAGTTCCCTCCAATAACGAGACAAGGCTACGTATTGAGGGTCAAGAAGATCTGTTTACTTGGCACCAAAGTGCCTTCTTTTATGCAGGTTTAACACATACAGGACCGCCCACAAGGGTTTATAGAACAACCAATCATAAATGTACATTACAGAAACACTCCCAGCAATTACATCCAAGAATCCTCCCCTCTGCCTGTGATCTAATTATGGCACACAATGCTTAACATAATTAACACAAGCAGGAAAAATACAGTTTTTATACATGTACTATAACTTTAAAACTACACAGCTGGAGGTCCCTTTATGACTGACTGCAAGCACATTTTCATGCCCAAAACAGTTCCATAGATTTGGGCTGTGCGGCCGGTCTATTTCAGGCTGAAAAAATGACTAAGTCCCTTCGCCGATTGGGACTTAGTATCTGCAGCTGTAAAATCAATATGGGAGAAGGTAGGGCTCAGCGGTGTTCGCGGAAATGTGTAGCCGATTTTAGTTCCATGAATTTGGCTACACATACCGCTGACCTCGTTCGCATTAACAAAGATGGCCGCCGCCACGTGTTCAGCAAACGAACAAAGGCCACCCAGCATTGTCAATTAAGCTGCGGTTAACCGCAGCTTCTGGGAGGTAAATTGCCTGCACACTTCCACTTCTGGGTGGTCTGCCTGTGTGGTACTTGGTTCAGTAAGACCCATTTACTGAACCAAGCAGGAAATAGCCAGGCACAAAGGGTTTTAACCAGGTCTGGGGACACAGGGGACATCATCTTAAAGGGGCAGTGTCCCAAACAAGTCTGGGGACACCGTCTTAAAGGGGCAGTGTCCCAATCTTCCTGATGTCCCAAAAGGTGTTTAAAGGGCCAGCACCAGTCCCATAAAGAGTCCATAAGCCCCAATATGCCCACTGGCTGTCTTAAAGGGCCATACACACTCAATAAAGGTGCATAAGTTCTCACAATCTCCCAGGGGCCATAGTCATGTGGAAGGAGGCTGGCAAATAGGCTTCTCCACAACCCAGGGAAGCAGGGCAATTTGCCATTTAAAGGGCCAGTTACAAATAGCAGTTTGTAACAATCTACATCTTGGGACATGATTAAAACATTTTCCAAAAAACAATTATTAGATGTATCCACTGCTTTGTACACTGAGCAGCCACACCATTAAAACCACTGGCAAGTGAAGTAAATAACAATGACAGCCATCAAGGGGTGAGATATATTAGGCAGCAAGTGAGCAATCAGTTCTTCAATTTCATGTGTTGCAAGCCGGAAAAATTAGCAAGCGAAAAGATCTGAGTGCCTTTGACAAGGGTCAAATAGTAATAGCTAGATGACTGAGTCAGAGAATCTCCAAAACAGCAACTCTTGTGGGGTGTTCCTGGTATGCAGTGGTTAGTGCCTACCAAAAGGGGTGCATGGAAGGACAACCAGTGAACTGACCTCATGATCATCGGCACCCAAGACTCAAATGCACATGGGGAGATAAGGCAAGCCCATCTGGTCCAATCATATAGAAGAGCTACTCTAACTCAAACTGTTAAAAAACTTAGTGTTGGCCATGGTAGAAAGCTGTTAGAACACACAGTGCATTACAGTTTGCTGCATATACGCCTACATAGCCACAGACCAGTCAGAATACCCATGATGACCCCTGTACACTGCCAAAAGTACCTTTAATGAGGACATGATCATCAGACCTGGACCACGGAGCTATGTATGAAGGTTGCCTGGTCTGATTAATCATAGTTTCTTTTAGATCAGATGGATGGCTGGATGCATGTGCTTTGTTTACCTGGGTAAGAGATGGCAGTAGGATGTCCTATGGGTAGAAGACAGGCTGGTGGAGGCAGTGTTATGCTCTGGGTAATGTTCTGCCTGGAAACCTTGGGTCCTGGAATTGTTGTGGATGCAGGATAATGCAGCCTGACACACTGCAAAAAATGTTCAGGAATGGTTTGAGGAACATGACAAAGAGTTCAAGGTATTTCCTTGGCTTCCAGATTCCCCAGATCTCAATCCAAGAGAGCCTCTGTGTGAAACATAGAAACATAGAAACATAGAATGTGACGGCAGATAAGAACCATTCGGCCCATCTAGTCTGCCCAATTTTCTAAAAACTTTCATTAGTCCCTAGCTTTATTTTATAGTTAGGATAGCCTTATGCCTATCCCATGCATGCTTAAACTCCTTTACTGTGTTAACCTCTACCACTTCAGCTGGAAGGCTATTCCATGCATCCACTACCCTCTCAGTAAAGTAATACTTCCTGATATTATTTTTAAGCCTTTGTCCCTCTAATTTAAGACTATGTCCTCTTGTTGTGGTAGTTTTTCTTCTTTTAAATATAGTCTCCTCCTTTACTGTGTTGATTCCCTTTATATATTTAAATGTTTCTATCATATCCCCCCTGTCTCGTCTTTCCTCCAAGCTATACATGTTAAGATCCTTTAACCTTTCCTGGTAAGTTTTATCCCGCAATCCATGAACCAGTTTAGTAGCCCTTCTCTGAACCCTCTCTAAGGTATCAATATCCTTCTGAAGATACGGTCTCCAGTACTGTGTACAATACTCCAAGTGAGGTCTCACCAGTGTTCTGTACAATGGCATGAGCACTTCCCTCTTTCTACTGCTAATGCCTCTCCCTATACAACCATGCATTATGCTAGCATTTCCTGCTGCTCTATTACATTGTCTGCCTACCTTTAAGTCATCAGAAATAATCACCCCTAAATCCCTTTCCTCATATATTGAGGTTAGGACTCTATCAAATATTCTGTACTCTGCCCTTGGGTTTTTACGTTCAAGATGCATTATCTTGCACTTATCCACATTAAATGTCAGTTGCCACAATTCTGACCATTTTTCTAGTTTACCTAAATCATTTGTCATTTGGCTTATCCCTCCTGGAACATCAACCCTGTTACATATCTTAGTGTGATAATTGAAACAACAAATCTGATCCATGATTCCCCACCTCACAACTTGCAGTAGTTTAAGGATCTGCTGCTAATGTCCTGGTGCCAGATACCACAAGACATATTAAAATTAATTGTGTAGTCCATGCTTTGACACACCAGAGCTCTTTTGGCAGCCCTAGGGGGGGCATTCACAATTTTATGCAGGTACTTTTTTCCAATTGTTTTTTCAAACATCAAGGGGAAGCAATAGGGGGGTAAATTAATATCGGTTTTACACTTTAAACATACTATGGCATAATATCACATCACATTATTGTGAGGATATTTATGGGGTGATAAATATTACAAATAATATTTTCATAAAAATTATCAAATATTAATTTAATATTTTTATTATATCAAAAATTTATATCTTGGCACTGTTTCCCCAATTAATTATTTAAAGCTGAGAATTACAGACTATTTTAATTCTCTTAGAAACCCTAGAGGAATTTTCCCTAGAAGATTTTACTCCACACATTAGTCACAAATTAATTATAAAAATATAATTTATTGTGATAATAATAATAATATTTAACATGCGTGACAATCAATAAATATTTAGATATAACATAAGTATACAATATGGCAGTGGCTTAACACAATATAGACAGCTAAAAGCATCAGTTATATGTGCAACAGTTGTCTGCAGTTTAAGATTTACGACAGGACACTACTTTGACACAGAACACAGCATCTCACAGCAGCACAGCTGTTGTGGTCGTGATTTAAATATAAATATTACTTTTTTAATATATAATAACTAAGCAATAAGGAACATCATTAATATTTTTATAGTTTGTGGTATTATGGTCGAATATGTGGATAGAAAATACACAAAATGTTGCAATATTAAATTTATATTTAATATAACTATAATAAATAAACAGATGCTAGCAGAATGTAAATTTACTACAATAATTATACAATACAAAACTACGACATATTACTTACAAAAGGCTATAACAGTTACTAAATGTTATAATGGTTTCACATGGTACAATTCAAAACATGAACAAACTTACACAGGCCCCAGCCTGTGGAGCTGGGGCCATCAGCTGCTACATTCCTAGACAGTCAAGGGCAGAACCAAAGAGCGAGACTGACTGGTTCAAAAGAGACCTGAATGCCTCCTACAATCTGTTTTTTATTCAGTGTAAGTAGCTGGCCTGTGATGTCACTGCCAGAAGCACATGGATTCCTACACACTGCCCCTAGTGGTGCCTCCAAAGCATTACACTAACTATGCTTTCCTTATGATGTAAAGCCATTAATTCATAAATACCATTACAACAGCGTAAAGCAATAAAAACTTTGTCTGACAGTCGAATCACACTGAATTAACTCTTTCACTGCTCATAGGCAAGATATCCTATTATATTGCAAATTTTACAACTACAATAATTCTCATACCAGATCATTCACCATTCCTATGTCCATTCAATAAGAATAATTCCAACAAGATTTTGCGTTTGCAGAATTATAACTTCCTTAATTAAGATTCACTATTTCTAAATTACATAAGCTAATATATTTGGATAATTGCCTGGTATTCTATTTTTAAAGTTAAAAGTAATATAGACTTCATTGGTCCACCTGCAGGAATGGAATTCCGAATTCTACATATTATTAACAAATTATGACTCCTTAATGTTTGGAATTACCATCTTTTATCCAAGTATATTCTGCCTTTTAGTAAAATCAATTAATTTAATTAAATAAAACCAGCATATTTACCAGTTCGGTTGTAGATTTTCTGTCAGATGTGTAGATATGTCCCAAGAATTTTGAATGCAAGTATTATGAGAGAATTGTATGAAAATAGAAGAGTTCTGAAGCTGTGTTAATTGGAAGAAAAAACTAAAAATTAGGTGTGTCCAGCTTTGGCTCCAGATGTCAGACCTAAGATGTTAGGTGTGAGTTTGAGTGATTCTAAGAGTATTTTTTTTTTTTAAGTGTAAGAGTCTCAGTGTTTTAGAGTAAGAGTCTTGAATCCAGTCCAAGAGTCAGAATGTCCATCCTCTTTTCCCTTTGTCCTTCATTTTTAAAGGACTAGTTTCCTACACGTCACTAGTTAATAGTAACCAATAGCGAACTGTGGGCGTGTCTTCCCTACAGACTATCATCTAGATTTTGGTCAGTAGATGGCACAATTACATAACTGAAAGTTCTCATCAGAGGGACAATTTACCTTTTTGTATAATGTGTTAACTGCATTTCGTGATGCGTTTAACATCATCTGGTTATCTTTTTTTGGCTACTATTCGT